TCCTGACTCAGTTGTGACTTTGAATACCATGTGATTTTTTTCCCCAACTTTGTAAAAGTGTACTTTTCTATATTTTATCAGTGTTATGCAGGTAAAAAAATATTAGAAAGGATATGTAATCCACTAACTATTGTTGTTAGTACCTTATTGTTCTCCAACATTTGTTGTTGTGGAAACAAACTTTAGGATGTATTTCACTGTCTGTTTTATTGATTTGCTTTTATCTAATCATGATGAAAACTCTCGTAAGTAATCAATGAATAAGATATATATATTTGTCAAGAAAATTGCGAAGTCATTTCCACGAACCACAATTGGAAAAACCTCCCCATTGCACACTCTTCTTAAGCAAGACTTTTGATCATTTAAACTTCTATGCCTTGCAAGAAGGACAACTTTGTATCATGATGTGTTTTTATACCTTGTCCTTGTATGCTAGACTACATTTGACAGTTAGGAGGGAATTAGGTTTAAGAAGCCACCCACCCTACTTGAGTATTATTTAGATTTCAAATCCAATGCATATATTGAAAAAAGAGATGAAACTATTTTGAAATTGTTATACCATATAGTCTCATAGATTTTTTTTTTATTTCTTCAAATTTACATGTTGATCTGTTTAAACTCGTCATGAAGTGGGCAGTAGAGAAAGAACAAGAAGAAATCAAAAGGGGAAATTCATTTAACAGTAAAAGGTGGTTCTCTAATCTTTGATAAAATTCAAAAATCTTCTAGCACACCCCAAAACATGAAATGGTAAGAAAAAAATGTTTGGGATGAGAGACTATATTTATTTTACTAGATTATTGGATATTTTTAAAAATAAAAATAAAAATTTTGAAGTCATTATATTATTTGAAGAGCTGATTTTTGGGAATTTTGTATAGTTGGGTCTCGGGGCGAGTTGCTTTGGATCTGAACTCTTTTCTAGATTTTGTAGGCACTCTTCATGGCTAGCTATTTGGTTGGTTGTTTTGGTTCTTGTGTTCTTTGACATCGTCTTGATGTTGTTTTAATAAAATTGTCTTATTTATCAAAAAAAAAATGAAGTCATTATCATTTGCCATTTACCAGCTTGGATTGCTTATTGTTCATATTCATTAAAATTTTATTCTTGTATTTGCCATTCATTAACGAAAGGATCAATTTTCGTGCTAAAAATACAGGGTAGAATATCAGCTTCCAAATCTTTTTGTAGCTGTAACTACAAAGGAAGCTTGTATGATGCTTTAAAAAATGCCATTATGGCCAAATAGGCAAGCATCAATGCCTATTTCTCTGCAACTCCATGCTATCTCTTGGGACCTTTTAAGAAAGAAAAATGCGAAAAAAAAAAAAAAAACCTTGGGTTGTTGTTAATGTTAAAAAATGTATAAAAAAAAGTATTGAAATGTGTAAAAGGTATATAAAAATATGTAAAAAAATTTTGAGATATGTGAAACATGTATTGAGATTATAAATATTTAAGCCTTATGTGCTTCTTATTGACAGCCCTGAGGGCTATCATTACCAGGACCCTCGAAAAAACCATTTCATCTTTTACCTGATAGAGTAGCTTAATTTACACTAATAGTAAAAGGAATCATAAAGGTTGATCCTTTACTGGTGTTTTTATTTAAAAAAGCTTTTGTTTGGTTACTAATTTCATTGTATTTGTTATTAAGCAAATTCTCTTGACCTCTGGATGTTCTGTCATAGGAAACAAGTGTACATTGCGAATGCATAGGAATCTCTTGCCTGCAGCCTTGGGTGCTTTGAAAGCCAATATTGGGGCATTGCTTGGTGCAGAGATAAATGCTCAGGGTGCTAAGTGTGAGAACGAAGGTTCAAAATTGAGAGCAGCCACTTTATAAAAATAATGCTGAAGGTTAGGCCTATCTGATTCTCCAGTCTTCTTCTAGGACCCTCAATTAAAAGAGACCAATGCTACTATTTTTAAAAAGCCATCCCCATCATGTTCATTCAAATATTCTATCGACAACTTTTGTTTTGTTTTCTTCTTTTGATAAATAATTCTCTTTTGTTTTTCTTTTCTGGGTGGTTTTTTGTTATTTATTTATTTTGGTATGTATGTTTGTGTGTGTGTCTAAGAACACGGACACTTCTAAAAAGGTGACGTATCCGTGTCGTGTCTGTGTTGGACACCGACACTCTTCAGACACTTCCCCGACACGTGTCGGACACTCCCCAAAACGTGTCCTGTTTTTTAATTTTTCTTAAAGATCCGGACACTCTTTGGACACTTGGAGGACACATGTGTTTATCGCTTAAACATACATGTCCATCAATTAGACACAGGTTAAACTAATTATAAGTTTGAACAAAATAATTTAAGATACAAAATAAAACAAAAACCATATAAATTTATAGGAGTTACTGTTATATTGCATTTTTCATTATCTTTGAATGATATATCCATATATATAAAATATAATAAATATTTATAGAATTATATATTTTATGCGTGTACCCCACGTGTCGTGTTCTGTATTTTTTGAAAATTAGCGTGTCAGCGTGTTCGTGTTGTGTCGCGTGTTCGTATCCATGCTTCTTGTGTGTGTGTTTGGGGAAATGGAGGGGAGATGGGAGGTGTTGATAATAAACAGTGTTTATCAAGTTATAATTAAGAGCGAAATATTGACCTATCGGAATATGGATGATTTGGATCGTTATGTAGGACTATCTTTACCACTTAAATGTAATATGTGAATATTGTTGCTCGTATATGTTGTATGTTCCATCAAATATACTTTCAGATTTTCTTGTTTGTTTCTTCTATAAGAATATAATTTTCTTCTTTGAAATTTCCGCCATTGTATCTGCAGATAATTTCTTTTTTTCAGCAGAAAATGCAAATTCTCATGCTGTAGAGAGAATAGCCTCGGTACCAGAAAAATGTTAAAATGTTACTAATCAGGTTTATATTTTCTCAATGTTAAAAGATACATTTAAAAACCCAAATATTTCTACTACTACTCAGATTCAATATTTAGTACATGTCAGCTCTCAATCAAAAGTGAATTTGGTTATGCTGTTTTTGTGAATCATCAAGTTCTTGAATACATTTATCCTAAATGATAACATTTTCCAAGTGAATTTTATCTTAATCTGTTTGACAATGATTTGAAATGTAACTTTGTTTAACAGATTAAGTTGTGGGAATCGGATATGAAAGGTTGGGATGATACCAGCTCATCTTTATGATGAGTTCTGGGGTAAAAATCAAACTCATCTTACTATGCATTTGCAATGTACACTTGAAGAAATCATTTTATGTGTGTAATTTGCAAGAAGGGAATTGAACACTTGAAGAAATCATTTTATCTTTTACCTGATAAAGTAGCTAAGACTTTAGAGAATAGTTATTGAAATCACAAAGTTTGGTCCTTTACTTGTGTCTTTCTTTGTTTGTTTCTTCTATTTGAATATAATATGCTTCATTGAAATTTGAACCTTTGTATATACAGATAATTTATTTTCTTGAGCAGAATGCCCAATTTCTTTTCTTCAGTGGAATGCATAGCCTCGTGTTGCAGACAGAATACCCTCTGTAATGTTCAGATACATTTACAAACCTACATATTAATGCTATAATTCAGATTTAATATTTAGTACATGTCAGCTGTCAATTGAAAGTGAAATTTGGTTATGTTATTTTTGTCAACCACCAAGTTTTTGAAGACATATATATCCTGTTTTTAAATGATAGCATTTACCGAGTAATTTTATATCTTAATCTGTTTGACAATTATTTGAAATGCAATCCTCTTTAACAGATTAGGTTGTGAGAATTGGATATGATTCACCAGCTCATCTTTATGATGAATTCCCTCTCGGATAAAAATCAAGCTCATCTCCACTACAATTGCATTTCATGTATCTTACTTTCAATCTTTTGTCAACTTATGGATTTGTTTCCTTATATTGCAGGAAGTTTTTGAGGATGGTCATGACTTTGCACGATGATATGGAGGTTTGTTATGGGAAGACTCAACAAAGAGTACTTATATGCACATGTGAGAATTGAACACTTGAAAAAACATACCCTTTTTTTCCATTAGAGGATGCAAAATTACCAGATATGAATGAGAAAAAAAAAAAAAGAAGAAGAAGAAGGAGAAGAAAGGAGGGAAGAAATGTGAGAAAATGTAAAAAGTTGTTTGGCTGTTTAAATTGCTGCCTCTTTTATGCTTCAGGTAACTTTCACTTCCGTTTTCGTCTTTTATTTACGTACTTGTGAACCTTGGTTTGTCATGCTTCTGTACTAGATTTGGGATGTTCAAATATATGAAAGTGTTACCTTTTCAATTACTTTCCCAATAAAAATTGGGTGCAGCTGTTTGCACTCTGCTCAAATACTCCTACATTCCCAAAATAACACAAAAATATATTAAAGCTCCTTAATCTTATCTAACCCATATATATATATATATATATCTGACTAAAAAATCAAAAAAAGCATAAAAAACTAACCTAACTTTCCAAACGAAGCCTTAAAATTAATGTTGATTTAAAGAAGATTTGAGATCTTATTTTCAGCACTCTTTTACAGATGAATACAGAGTATTTATACAACAATTATCCAAGACTAACCATGATGAGTTAACTCTAACTAATCATACTAACTCTAACTCTAACTAACTAACTGCAACTCTAACTAACTAACTGTAGAACTAATTCTGTTACAACAACATCTAACAGATATTATAATGGATATGGAATGTTATCACTGGACTCGGCTTGTAGCTTCTCACACTTGGATGTGGCTGATGAAGACTGTTTGAACTGCTGCAGAACTTGAACCTGTTTGGACTGTTGCTGCTGCTGAGTCTGATTGTAAGCTTTGTAAGCTATACTTTCATCACCCCCCGGCAAGCTCATAGGGGAAGAGAGCACCATGAGCTTGTCACGAAGAAAATGAAAGCGAGAGACGGGTAAAGCTTTGGTAAACAGATCAGCAAGTTGATCAGAGGAGGCAACATGCTTGACAAAAATTTGTTTGGATGCAACTCGTTCACGGATATAATGATAGTCAACAGCAATGTGTTTAGACCGAGAATGGAAAACAGGATTGGAACTCAAGGAAATAGCAGACAAGTTATCACACCAGAGAAGTGGACATGGATGAGCAATGTGTAAATCAGTAAGAACCATTTGAAGCCAACTCAACTCAGCTGCGGCCTGAGCAAGAGCTCGATACTCAGCCTCAGTGGATGAACGAGACACTGTAGGTTGCTTCTTGGCAGACCAAGAGATAAGGTTAGGACCTAAAAAGACACAGTAGCCAGTAGTAGAGCGACGATCATGGACACTACCTGCCCAATCGGAGTCAGAGAAAGCATGAAGCTCAAGAGGACCAGGAGTAAAGGACAGACCCTGATGAAGGGTGCCTTTAAGATACCGCAACAAGTGTTTGACAGATGCAAAATCAGCCTCAGTAGGAGCATGCATAGTTTGGCAAGCATGATTAACAGCAAAGGAGATATCTGGACGAGTAATTGTCAAATACTGAAGGGCACCAACAATACTACGATAGAGAGAGGGATTGGAATAAGCCACAGGTGCAGAAGATATGGAAGAGGACTTGACAGCCATGGGAGAAGGGGCTGCTTTACAGTCAGCCATGCCAGCCTTAGTAAGAATTTCTGCAGCATATTTAGATTGAGAAAGGAAATATCCAGATGAAGAAGATGTCACAGAGACACCCAAAAAATAGTGGATAAGACCCAATTCTTTCATTGAAAAAGCAGAGTGCATATGAGCAATGAGAGAGGCAATATGAGCTGAATTATTTCCAGTAATAAGGATATCATCAACGTAAACAAGTAACACAGTCATCGTAGTGGCAGTGTGTTGAATAAACAGAGATGAATCAGATGGACTAACAACAAATCCACTTGTAAGAAGATAGCTTGAAAAAGTAGAATACCAAGCACGGGGTGCTTGTTTAAGACCATACAACGCTTTAGTCAATTTACACACAAAATGTGGTTTAGACTTGTCAACAAAACCTTGAGGTTGAGTCATATAAACTTCTTCATCCAAGACACCATGCAAGAATGCATTTGAGATGTCAAGTTGTTTAATTGGCCAACTGTAATGAAGAGCCAAGCAAAGTAAAATACGGATTGTGGGCTGTTGCTGCTGCTGAGTCTGATTGTAGGCTATACTTTCATCACATTTAAACTTTTAGATATTTTTTGAATGATAAAAAATGTTTTTAGAAATTCACTCAGAATGATATAGATTAATGATGTATATTTGAAATTGTTGTGGGACCATTTATGTAGCGAATCTTGACCATGCATTTAAAATTTTAGATATTTTTTGAATGATTTTTTTTGAATTTATAGCATTGTTGTTTTATTTTTGTGTTAAAAGTGAACTTGTGTACTATTGAAATTATATATGGAGGGCATAAAATTATATATGAAGCATATTAAAAGGATAAATGAAAGAGATAAGGAAAAGTTACAATTAAATTGTATTTTACTCTCAAAATTATTATCAAGTCCTATCAAATTTTAATATGGACAATCAAGTTTTATTTGTTATAAAATATTCCAAAAAGATTCATTGTTTTATAATGGTGTATTTTATCTCAATTTTACCCATCTCATTTAATATGAACAACAATTTTAACATAATTAAAACAAAAAAATTTAATTGTAAGAATTATTATTATTATGTTTAAAAAATCATAAATAACAATTGAATCAAAACAATTATAGTATAAAATTTATAATTTTTTGTTATTTCAAATTATGAATTTTTGTAGTAGTGTAAACAATCTAAAAGGTTAAATTCAATTAAAATTCTAAAAAATTATAAACAAATAATACTATGATAAATTTATATATTTTTCATTGCATGAGATAGTTGATGAATCTTATACGTATACTTTTGTTTATGAAAATTAATTTAATTTCAAGAATTAAAAATATTTTATTATAATAATTTAAATAAATTAAAATTATTTATGAAAAATTTTTGGTTCATATTTTATTGAGAAAAATAAAAATAAAATAAAACATACTATTTTGAATAATTGAACTTTTTTTTATAACAATTTATAAAATAAAAAAGAAAATATGACTTATTAATTAATATTGAAACGCGATATAATTCAATAGTAATTTTGAAAATAAAATAGAACTTATTAGTAATTTTTTATTGTGCTTTATGATATTTTTAAAGGGCATTTATTCATAAATTCCTCTTCATCTACTTATGTTCTACTTAATCCAAATTACTTTCTTATGTTTCAGTAAGTTTTATAGGTAACATAGTTATCAAAAGATCCCTAATAATAATAGGGTGAAGCGCGTATTAATATTCACATTAGCAATGTGAACATTCACACTGTCAACATGAACATTCGCATTGCTAAATTTATCTAATGTGAATGTTCACATCACCAAGTTACTAAGAGTTCAAAAAAATATTTGTAAGGATAAAATTGTTCATAAAATATCTTAAATATGAGGATTAGGATTTGGTGTATCAAATATCCAAAATAATAACATTCATTGGAATATAAGAATATCTTATGGACTTACTGGGATACGATTACTTAAAAGAGGATTTTCTAATAAATGTTCTTTTTTACAATATCATGATTTTTACAATTACAAATATGATTTTACTTGGATTAAAAAATTTATGAAATTGTTGTTCATATTAAATGAGGGGTTCAATTGCCATAACATACACCATTATGCAGTAATGAATTTTTAAAAAATATTTTATGAAAAATAGGACTTGTCTATATTGAGACTTAATAAAATTAGATAATAATTAGATAATAATTTTAAGGGTAAAATACAATTTATTGATAATTTTTCTAAGAAATAAACTGAAAATAATTACCAGAGATGAAGAGTAGGAGGAGGGAGAGCAAAAGGCACAAGGCAAAAAGTTTTCCCATGTTTGTAGATAATTAGACAATGGTTTTCTTGCTCTTTTTATAGACTTAAGAAGTCATTTTTATCCATTAAAAAACACAAGTAACTATAATAATGCCTTTTGTTGCAAAATTACCATATGTGAGCTGGTCAACATACTGTAATGTATTTTTAAGTATTAACTAGTAAATGTTTTCCCCCAAAAATGGTAATACCATACCACTATTAAGTCAATCCTCATAGACATATAGTTTAGCACAGTCAAAATTTAAAAAATCTTTTTTGTTTTTTTGTTTTTTGTTTTTAATGGTAAGTGAAATTGTTTGATTAGGTAAGTGAACTTTATTGTTTAGGCCTTGTTTGAGAGGTTGCTAAATTAATTAAAAAGTTAAAAAATATCAAAAAGTCATAAAAAAGTTAAAGATTCGAAAATTCAAAAAGTCATTCTCAAATATTATTATTTTTTATTTTTTACACCTTATATTTTAGCTAAAAAATCACTAAAAAAGTTATTTCTCAAACAAACCCTTAATTAAACTATTATCATAATCTTAAGAATTTTGTTAACGACTGCTTTTTAATATTTTGAAAATCAGACCAGTGAGAAAACCGAAAAAGTGACCGAGCAGACAAGTCATTGGTTCAATTGTGGGTGAATTAGAATTGAACCATGATGTCATAAATATATTAAAATTTATAAATATAGAAAATATAAATATTAAAATTCCAAAATAATAAATAATAAACAATTATCAAAAAAAATATTTCTTAGAATTTATTTTATGTTTTTATACATTGATTTTTAGTAAAAATAATTAAGATAATATTGAATATATAATATATATACTTATTACATTGTCAACAATTGTGTTGATAGCTTAGTAGTTAGAGTGCTTGTTTCTTATGCATTGAATCTTCAATTCTTTAAATTCGGCCGGTTGTGATGACCCACTACATGTTCAACTAGAGAGTTTTTCGGTTCTCACAAATATGACCATTTTTGGGCATTAAACGGTTTTAGAGGTCTAGATGAACCGGTCAATCCTATATGATTTCCTAAACAATGTTGCTTTTGGCACTTGTTTTTAAGTTTAAATTAGTTGTACATTGTAACGCCCCAACTTTTGTTATTCAGATAATATTACCTTTTTTCTTTAAGTCAGATTATCTCAATAATAATAACTATCAAAGATATTTAGGAAGAAATAAATTACAATGTTCTCTCTCGTATACATGTAATGAAATACAATACACGCCCACAGGCGTTATGCTATCAATTACAAAATAATGAAATATATAAAAGGGATTAACCCTTTTTACAACACATTGGCATTTTGCCTGTATTTAGAAGGCCCCATGGCCAACAATTAACATGATTCAAGTCTCGAGCAACTCTTCACTCCATACCTGAAAAATAATTAGCAACGTGGGATGAACACAAAGGTCCAGTAAGAATCCCAATAATCCTAAACAATAGCAACATATAGATAGCTAGAATTATGAATGCTCCACACACACACACACACATATAGATAGGATGTGACATTTCATCCTTCAAAATATACTTACATAAATACAATTTTTCAAAAGATTCTCTTTAACATAACAAGAAACAAAGGCCAATTATTACCTTTCAAAACTTTTCATTTGCATTTAAAAGAAATCTCCACCATTCATCACATTACCACAATTTCCTAAGATCGATCTAAACAATATACTCGTCCTACATTCCAACTCATTATGGCTACAAAGGCAATTACTATATATTATGGTCTTAAGCACAAGTGTAAAATGAATTTTCACAAATACATATACATATATATATATATATAAGCAACAATAGACATGTCAACACGCATTACGATATTTTACCAGTCACAAGCACGGAAAACCAATCATGCATCCCTTCTTATCACAACCCAAGTATGAAAATACACAATGCGTAATTAACACATAACGGACCCCGGCTTC